CAAAATTCAGATGAAGATAATCAACGTCGACAACGAATCGGTAGACGATTAAGTTCATATCAAGAATTTATTATTAGTACATCATCAAATGTTCAAACGAAATGAAACTATTTTTTCTACCATATATAAAATTCGTTGTCGTCAGTTATTAAAAGACTAAGTTTGTTTAATTTAATATTTATTGCAGTATAGAATAAGTATCTTACCTCTCTTGTATTGATTTGTTGTACTATTATATTTTACTTAACGTTGAAGTAGACAATAAATCTAAAGTAAAAAAAAACTATGTAGATGATTGTATCAAATCGAATGAGTAATCGTCATGTATTCATAGGAGTGTCGGGGGTGTAACACCCCCGTCAACCTTCGAAAATCTCTATTTTCTGCTCAACAAAATCAACAAATCTTTGTAAGTTTTTTACGAAAGATGATGCTACACCCCTAATGTTGGTTGACTCGCGGCACCCCTGTGTATTCATGTAATATAAAGATTGTGTTCGAGTATGACGTATATGCGTTTTATCGTTATTCATGTATAGCCAAGTTACCATAGTATTTATTTACGACCTTGTAAGAATGTTAAATATAAACTAAACGAAAAATTTTACTGACGTCATTAAATCGTCATGAAGGCGGGGGTTGATTATTCATCTTAGTTTCTTATACCATTGTTTTTTCAGATAGAAATTCATTATGGAATCAAAATTAGTGCCTATTGGATTTGAAGGAATAGTTGCTAGTGAAATGAAATCTTATATTGGATTTGAACAATATGAAGATGAACAAACGGATAATGTAAGCCGTGTTTATCCTCGAGGTATGATTTTAAATTATTTTTATTATATAGTTAATGAATTATCTATTGAATAGATGATACTATGCCAATTCCAAATCAACCTATTCGAAACAATTTTGATTATTCATCTACTCACAATACAAATTCTCATCAATCAACAAAAAGAACTCTTTCATATCCACAAGTATTTTCTATTTACAATGAAATTGTTAATGAATGGTCTAAAATTCAGTGGCTTATCTTTTCTGATAATCATACAAAAACTTATTTAACATTAGATTCTGATGCAGACGAATTTGTAACCGTACAAATGGCTATCGATCAATATCAATGTACAAGTATAACTACATCACTTATGTCCCTTCCTGAATGTTTATTAATTCGAACAAAATCAAGAACACAAGCATTATTTTTACCTAATTCAATCATTTCAATTGAAAATTTATGTGATACAGATATTACTCAACGTCTATTTCAATATAAATTAATGGCAATTATTTGTTCTTCAAATAATACAAATAATAAAATAATGTTTTATAAAGATTTTCAAACCGATTTTTGGTATATTTTTTCTGAACAATCAATACCATTACATTCTCATTCGAATAAATTAACAGATGAAGAACAATGTCAACTTGAATTATTTATTCAACCAAAAGATCAATTAAATAATATTGATCTATCAAAATTTACATCGTCATTATCAGTTCTAAGCAATCATCCAATTATTTATGTATATATACCAGATAAAAATAACTAATCATTGACGAAACAATTTTAGATGATCAATATTGTGCAGTAATACGATTTTACTCTGTTTTATTTGTTTAGCTCAATCTATTTTGTATGAATCTATTGTAACTTGTTATGTACATTATAATAATTGCTTAATTTTCGTTGTCTGTATAAATAAAAATTTACATTTACGCTTCTTCTTGCTTCTAATAAACAGATTCATCCAATTTTCTGTGATAAATTCCATTTTTATAGAATTCAAAAAAGAATAATCTATTGATATATGAGTGAGATAGGCAAATAAAATTGAAATATCATTAGCTCTGGATATTCATGGAAAACGGAAGCATTATGACCTGAGGGTGTGGGTGTGAATATAACATAAATGTGATATCCACCCTATTACAATACAATTCAATTTCATATAAGTGATTCTTTTTTAGATTGCTTTATTACATAACTACTATTTAAGATAATGTTTCTTTTTCTTTCTTTTTTTTATTACAGGGAACACTTTCGTACCGAATTAAAAATGTAAATATGTGTGAGAGAGTCATTTAGACACATATGTATGTGGGTGTATTACTTTATCCGTCGGCTTTGTCCGCTACGTGTTAATTGTTTACAGAGTTGTTCTCTGTACGCGCGCGTACGATACTCCCGAATTAAAGTAATTCAAAAATAACTGAAAAAAATATTCTTTTATTTATTTATTAAATATTCTTTTTAATTTCTTCTTTTACAATTTCAATATTCTCTTTCACACTTTTTATATGAGGATGGGTTGGAGGTAACGCACGTTGAAATACGTCCAGAGAACGGTCATAATATAAAAGCGCTTTCGAATAGTCTTTCATTTTGTAATACACTTTAGCCGTGTTGTTGTATGAAGTAGCTAGTAAAGGATGATTTGAAGGAAGAGTTTTTTGAAAGATTTCAAGTGCTTTTTCGTGAGATGAAAGTGCTTTCGAATTTTCTTCCATCTGTTCATACACACTACCGATGTTGTTGTATGAACTGGTCAAATAAGGATGATTTGAAGGAAGAGTTTTTTGATAGATTTCAAGTGCTCTTTCATAATATGAGAGCGCTTTTGGGTACTCTCCCATATGATGATATACACAACCGATATTGTTGTATGAAATAGCTATATCAGGATGATTTGAAGGAAGAGTTTTCTCTCGAATTTCAAGCGCTTTTTCGTAGTATGAAAGTGCTCTCGAATTCGCTTCCATATTGTTATACGCCAAACCGATGTTGTTGTATGAAGTAGCCAATAAAGGATGATTTGTAGGAAGAGTTTTTTGACAGATTTCAAGTGATTTTTCATAGAATAGAACTGCTTTCGGATACTCTGCCATCTTGTCATACACACTACCGATATTGTTGTATGAAGTAGCTATATCAGGATGATTTGAAGAAAGAGTTTTTTGTTTAATTTTAAGTACTTTTTCGTAATACCAAAGAGCCTTCTCATAATTACCCTGATTTGTACGAACAAATCCCAGCTGATTATAATAGTGCTGTTTTTCGTCCTCTTCAGATGTCTGTTCGAGTAATACGGTATAAAGTTCTTCAGCTTTATTAAATTGACCGATTCTAAGCAATAAGTTACCTAGTCTCTGCCATTCAGAATCACCACAAGCTTCTTTTCGTATCCGATCAGTAAGTAATCGTAGTTGTTGATCATCATCTGATGTTAATTGTAGTTCAACTTGATAAAGTTGATTATTATTGTCGATTTGTTTAATGGTACCCACTCGAAAGACAGTGTGCATTGAGAAGAGAATTTCGTCTTCTTCCTTAAAATAACTCTGCTCTTTGATAGAGGCGAATGGTGTTGATTTTAAACAAGGATCAATGGACATTATAAAGAGAATGCCTACCGTATCCGAGTTTGTTGAAGCACACCGAGCAAAATTGAGGGACACATCTTTAGTTTTACTGGTGGATAGGAAATTGTTAAATGACATAAGTCCACCTTTTGTTTTCTGAAGTTTTTCGAAATCTATTTTCATAAGACCTTGTCCTCGATAAACTAAAAAAGGCTTTCCGCCATAAACACTGAACTGTTGTTCATACAGCTGTTGAATTTGTTGATGTACATCTCGTAGAAAGAACCCCATCGTAATAATTATATCGGCATCCAATGTTCGAAGGCCATAATTAAGCATAGAAAAGATATTCGATGGAAAAGTATACCACCAGATAGCTAATTGAACATGGTATTCCTTATCGAAACGGTCAATATTGATTGGCGACACGCAGTCATTGTGTCGACAATAAGCAATAAACTGCTTGATGGCCTGTTTATCATGTTCCATGTTAAGAAGAATATCCTTGAATATTTGGGTGTACATAAATGTTGGATCCAATTGATTTAAATTATCAGTTGGAGCTATTTCATTTACTGGAATAAAACTCACAGCAACTGAATCTTGATGGTATTGCTTAACACCCAGTTGTAATCTTTGGTATAAGTCATCGATGTTGACATAAACGCTTTTGATTTTTGGCCATTGTTTTGTTGGTTCTTCATGTAACGTTTTAATGCTACTGAAGGCATGAACGCTATCCAGTTGAGGGATATCATTAATGAGGGGCATGAGTTGTTGTACAATAGCATTCTCTACAATGAGGAAAGACTTAATGTCTTCTTGAACATCTGTAAGAAAGTCGATGCATTCGTCTCGTTGCTTAAAGACGTTCACATTCTCGGCGATAGTTCGTATTTGTGCCAAAATATTTTCATAATCTTTATTTGTTTCATCCATACACTCATCTAACCAGAGGATTGAATAATTTTGAACCATCCGTCGCCTTGGTTGAATAATATCAGATGATACCGTTGTTGTACTATTATTATTTATGAACGGATTTGATGGTAAAGAAGCTTTTTGATTAGATCTTGATTCACTCATTTTATTCTTATGATACTTTGATGTTGTAAATAAGCTTGGCAATAATTGTTGCCGTCTAAGTGGTAACAAAACTTACCGCTCTTATTCAGAATGGCAATGTCGTGTTTTTTCTTCAGCATGCAAAATGTGTGTGTTTTTTTGTCAAGATTCGAAGAGAAAATTCAACTAGTTGCTTTTTAAAATACTGCTGTGAAGAGTAAGAGACAGAACAAGGCAAATAACTTTCTTAACAACGTTCGCAACAAAACAAACAAATTAGAAGCGCACGAAATCATTTCGTTTTATAGTTATTCTTTTCAACTTTCTCTTGTCTTTACCTGCGCAATTCGTCCAGTATGCCGATGTGCATACAACAGTTTGTCATTGAAATAAAAAAGCAAAAGAAATATGACTGATTTAGCGAATGTTGCTTTTCTTCATCATACATCGTTTTGTTGTGAGTTGATCGCAAGGAATTTATTAGAATAAAAGAACTGTATCAATGAATAAGAAATACCTATTGATTTAAGAATATCATAGGAACTTGGTTGTTTTCTGTACCAAAAGAAAAGTTTTTTGTACGAACGTATTTAAAAGAATTATATTGTAAATAGTTTTGAAAAAGCAAAAAAATATTAAGAAATTTTTCCATAATTTAAGCAGAGAATACTATTGTCGAATAAAAAAGAAATTATTTTGGATGGGTGTGACGTGTGTATGCTTGGTGAATACAGTATCAATACCCACACCCTATCAATAAACCAAAGAAAGTCTTCGAATTCTTTTTTTAACATTTTATTTTAGTATCTCTATCAACTAAAGTTGATAATATGTGACAAACGAAAACAATCATTGTATTATAAGAATATCAACAGAATTTTAAAAAAAGAAGAAAACAGAAAAAGAAAATATAAAGATAGTATAATAAATAAGAAATTCTAAATAATATCATATGTGCAAGTACCAGTGACATCTCTTTTATTACCATTAAGAACAAAAAGATTTAGAGGAAAGAGGAGAGAACAAGACAGAGAGATAACAAACAATGAATGTTGTTCAATTTTATTTAGTTTTTCGTAGATGATTACGATATATCGAATAGGTATTTGTATATAATAAAAAATACGTAGAAAGTATTGCACGTTTAAAATATTCATATCGCGAGTGATAGTTCGTCAAAAATTCAGTTAAGTCTATGTACATGTGTTGCGTTCTCTCAAATAAACGATTTGAAAATTCATTCAATTTTAGACAGTATTTATATAAATAGTCGTTTATTGTATATTTTTTCAAAAGTAAATAAACGTGTTCGATTTGTCTTTCAAAGACTTCTGTATAAAAAAAAAGGATGAGAAGAGTCAGATAATATGCGCAAAAATAGTTTTTTCTCTTATTTCTAATAGAAATATAGGTATTTTCTTAAAAAGTATAGGTACGGTGTGATACATTTCTGTAATGTTTTTGAATGTATACTCTACATCCGAGTTTAGTTGTTATATTGATGGCGATATATTTAAAATTTTGTACAAATTCAGTTGCTATATCACTGTATTTTATATTAGAGTGCATTGGTCGTATATCTTTATGAATGAACAGTGGATATGTGTCTTTTGGTGAAAGTAGGTGTTATAAATTGATCTTACATCTTTATACATACATACATATTATAAAGAATAATTTTAGAAGTACCAAAGGAACTTGAACTGTTTATAAGTGATATATAACTAACTGATTAAATGTTTAAAAAGTATGTAGGTATCGATGGCTTTTTTTACTGAGAGTAGACTAGATTCACCTTATGGATTTAGGTTTTTATAGATCGTATCATTCTATAGTATAGCAATGAGAACGACTACAAAGTCTTATATCTTTTTATTTCAGATATTATATAAACGATCACAATGGCTCATCTTCAATATTTTTGCTACAAAGGTGTTGGTGAAAGAAATAAGAAGTTATTTAAATATTCTCAAGCAGTTCGTATTAGTGACAGAATAGAATGTGCTGGACAAGGTTAGTTTAACAATTTTTTCCTAATAAATACTGAATCTGAAAATTATAGGAGGTTGGAATCCAGAAACAGGTGAATTTGATAAAGATGTTAATAAACAAATTGATCAAGCTTTTAAAAATGTTCAGCTCAATTTGACTGATGCAGGAGGAAAAGGATGGGAACAAGTTTATCGAGTTGTTTCTTATCATATTCCATTAGATGATGAAGCTCTTAATGCAATGGTTCGCAATCTCAAACAATGGTGTCCAAATCATGAACCAATCTGGACTGTTTTAGGTGTTTCAAAACTCGGAGACGAGCGAATGAAGGTCGAAATTGATACATTTGCACATATTCCTAACTAAATATTTTTGTAGTTAGTTCATGAAATATATAACTCCTATATTATATAATAAAAACGAATAGAATATTATCATAATTAAGAAATTTTCTTGAACAAATACGAGTGTGGATAAATAAAAGATGAACTCACACCCACCCTATATGCTACTCACATAGATATTCTTAGCTACAACCTCAATAATCATCATTTCAGATGATTTAACCTCTCAATTGATTACTACAGTAAGTACAATAGAATACTGATTTTAATCACAGAACCACCGTTGAAAAGAGGTAACACGAAGTTTCTTTAAAAATACAAGATTTTATACGTACATATAACTAAGTTATTTCTCAAAAAAACTCTGAAAAGAAATTGCGAGTTTTTTCATAAAAATCGATCAAACGACTTTCAATAAAATGCTTGTAGCTTTTTATCATCTAAAGATTATAACGCAATCCTTGTACAATTGATTGATCTTTAATTAGTCATTATAGCAGGGTGTGGGTGTAAAAAACATATTTAATAAAACTACCAAATATGAAACCAATTTAGTTATTCTAAATAATAGAAGTTACTAGAAATTAAGTTTGTTTATCGTTTAATATAGTTATTATCTTTAGCATAGTTCTTTATCTTTATATTTAGGAACAGGAAAATTCTTGTCTAAAAGAAGTAACAGATGAAAACAAATCAAACTATTTACCTGTTCGTTTTCAAAAATTCATCTATTCCTTTTTCTTATCTACTCTTCAGGTTGAACTCAATACAACAACTCAAAAAAAAGATTACACATTACAAAACATTCTTCGAAATATACTTAACCAAATTAGATACCAAATCATTTATCCATTACTTGTATATACATATTTTCATACACTAGTTACGATTATTTAAGTGAGAAATCTGGTAGTTATTTGTGAAATATGATATATATATATAAGTAACATTCATCGCTTTGATATGTCTGTCTCGTATATTGTTTATTTTTCTAAAACAATTACTCACAATATCAATTGTATCTATATTTACTTGAGAACGTAGGTATGATTGTCACATTCATAACTCATCTACATTCAAACGATGTATAGGCTACTCTTCAACACATACCAACATCGGCATTAATTCTTTTTTTCCCTAAATTTTAGATTACCTAAGAGTATGACGACATGACTGCCGATACCAGTATATATTGTATCTATCTGACATCTACATTTTTATGAAAAAGATGATAGCAAAATAATAATATTTTGTTTGATACGTATTAACAAATCTAGTATGATATTAAAGGAATGTAATGAAGTAATCATGACGCAATTACACCTTCAAAGAACGAAACAGTGCTGATGTATAAAGTAGTTTTTATATTAAAAACATGATGTAATGCTAAAATTATGTAAGAAAGTTTCGTGTTTGAGCAATATCATTCAAAAAAAAGAAAAACAACGCTGCGAGTAGGATTTGAACCTACGCGGGGAGACCCCATCTGAGTAGCAATCAGACGCCTTGGACCGCTCGGCCATCACAGCGATAGCGTCTCGATACTATCCAATTTTTGTACAATAAAAGATAGTTTATTAACAATATATTGCTACAATTCTTAGGTGCATGGAATATAGAAATTAAGATAACATTTTTAAAGATTCGTAATGTCATAGACGCTCAAGAACTTAAAATAAAATAGTCGATTTATATCCATAATTTATTTCGAAGAAAATCAATCTATCAACATAAGATAGTTTAAATTCTCGAATTAGATGACCTCATCTTTGTGTAGACAATAGATTTCATTCAATTCTAGGATAATCGTGAATGTTAAAAATTTGTGACAACCTTAAAATCGTAATTTCGAGATCGAGGTTCGCATCGCATTTCGTAGTTGAGTGAAACTCGAGTATCATTTTGTGTGGCAATAGCCTTGAGAGTGGAAAGTTACGAAATAATGGTTGAATTTATACCATTTTTCCTTATCAGATCGTCACCATATGATTTTGTTTTTTTACATTTTAAGATAATTAGGATGAAAGGAAAAACCAGGGTGTGGGTGTGGATGCTGATGAGAATGAGATCGGTGTCTAAATATCCAACCCTCACCACATCCACATCCACAGACCCACACCCACACTCACACCCACACCCACACCCACACCCTCACCCACGCCCACACCCACACTCTCACCCTCAAGATGGTTGATTTGATCGAACAGCAAAGCTCACCTCTTCTATTTATATAGACAGTGTATTGTTGGTTTTTCGTGATTTTTCTCCGACGCAGAATGATTGCATTTTTTATTGACACTCAATGAATAATCCGCTTAGTTTCTATTAATACTCTCCTATGAATAATAAGTAAGAGAGAGATTATTATAAAGAAATTCGTTAACAACGTCCGAACCAGACAGTTTATTTTATGTTACTGTTATTCTTTCCCGCTTTCGTCTCCTTCCTCTGCACAATTACTGTAGTGGGCCATTACGTGGGCTATT